GAATATCTATGGTGAACAATTTGTACATTTGCACGGTCATTAGCAGCATGTGACGAATGAAGGCATGGATGATAAGGGTGGAACACACGCAACGATTGACTGAATTCACCTTGGTAACATTCAACACGTTTTGCTTCTGGTTTGCATTTAAATTTYTATGCTTTGCCTGTGTGTTTGAGCACGAGAACCATTTCCAATTAACGTAACGCATACGTGTCTAATACCATCCAGTGCCAACGGTAGCTACATGGCTGTTAGAGCAAACGTTGTTACAGGAACTCAAAACGTTTTTAACTTTCCCATGCACTGTACAGCTGTAATAAGGTCAAAGAAATATAATATTAAAATTAAAATTACTATTGTAGTTTGGCTGAAACCTCCTCAAAGCTATCACTACGTTGCTACAAGGACGTACCAGTACTATAGGAATGTTGTCTGTGACAATTATTCCTTTATTCTTTGTTTGGTATACCGTTATAGGTTCGTTAGCTGACTGAACAACTCATTCGGAACTCTGAACAGCTCACCGTACCAGTTAGCTTCCCTGAAGGTCACAATGTACAAGGCTTTGGTGTTTGTCCTCTTGATGGTTACTCTAACCAATGCTAACGCAATTCCGCTGCAAGAATATGAAGGTAATAATAATACTCTCGTATTAAACTGTAATGCGTGCAGAGGACARTGCACCGGTGKTTTTTTGGCTTAAGTAGTTGTGATAAAATCCAGGAATTTCATTTGAAACTTTATGACACCATAGAAAAACCTTTTCAACAGATTCAATTCTCAAATTTTGTAAATTTACTAAGTTTAGGCCGCGATTATGAATGGTTGAGTCAGTATCCTTGAAATCGTGGCCGATTCGCTGACAATGAAAAAAATGAGAGAAGCGTTTTTCTGCCTTATTTATGGATTTCCTTCAACACAGATCAAAAATAAACAATTAGTCCCGATATTCATCCAAATTCTTTTAAGATTAAGATATTATTTTATAGATGATGGAAGAGTAGCGGAGAAAAGGGATCGTAAGTATTGACGTACTGATAACATTTATTTAAGACACAAAGGAAGAGTACGTTTATAGACCATATATATGAAAATGGGTGTGCCTATCATAGCGCCATTGATTATAAGTATTACAGTATAGCATTACTACTCGTTGTAATAACGTATTATAATGAGTAAGATCTGAAAGTTTCAATGCTCTTACATTTATGGACCAGAAATTACAGGTGTTTGAAATTGGAAACGTTTGAGTGAAAATCAGTATCGAGGCCTTACCAGCATCGTTTTCACGTTTTGTCGTACGTTTGAAATGCTCGTAGCTCCGCTGATATCCAACATTAGAAAAAAAAAATCCTCCAGTTTCTAATAGCTGTAATTGTGYAAACAGATTTTTAAAGATCCGGATTAAAAATCTGAATCGATTGAGGTGTTCATTCCCAGTTTTCTGCTCTGTTTTCATATGGTCAATACATTTTCGAAATGCATTCTGTGTACTAGGTTCTTGTCCAGACWCCTGTARYTACGTCCATGAAGACTGCTGGTGGACTAACAATCCAGAGAGTGACGAATGCAAGTTTTCGAGAAAATGTGGCTGCGAATAATGACGTCTGGTAGGTTCACCGAGAGGAACTTCATTCATCAGAACCATTCATCTTCATAATTATATAACGTGCCTTTTGATAGTATTCTTTTTGAGTTTCCACCACGATTTAGAATTATAGAAGATAAGGGAGGAGTGAAAATTCAGGTCAAGTTTCGCAGTAAAATGAGTAGTAACCACTATGAATTTTCTTTTACAGGCTCAGTGGTCACTTATTTACCTGCAAGATTAATATGTTATTCTAACCATAGCTCAAGATAATAAACTTATCTGCTGTTTTATTCAAAAGTGGGCGCAAACAGGATCTGTGAAACAAATATGAATAATAACGACTATTTAGTGTCAATAACACAAAGAAATTGAAAATAAAGGAATTAGTATAATTTATGTCTARTTCGTTTTGATACTACGGATAAAGTGCATCCATTCTGCGCTTTTGTCAACCGCCTGATATGATATACATATGAATATGAGGACCGCATGGCACTATGATAAACATGATAAAGAAATGGAAGACATTTATTATAGTGCTTAGAAGGAGGCAATTCCGGGAGAAAGTCCCATCGGAAATTATTTTTTCCGAATTTATTCCTAAGGGTCTTTCTCCCGGAATTGCCTCCTTCTAAGCACTATAACTTTCTTCCATTTCTATATCGTATATGATATACGGCTGTTTTGACCTTGTTCATGGCGTTAAGTGTGTGTTGGAAATTGTATACGCGGCTGATCCCTGCTCAATAGGCCGTTTGCATTATGACGTAACTTTACTACAACTACCAGAGGGCCTTGCGCATTTTCATTGTTATTCAGATTTTTAATCCCCCTGGAGACTAATAAAACAATTGGGACAATTGCATTACAAAAGAAAGTTGGCAAGCCATTCTGGTAGTTGTAGTGAATGACGCCATAATGCATATCGCCTATTGATAACTTATGTTGCATGCTTTTGAGCGTTTACGTCGTTCACCTCTTGAATTTGCACGGACTGTTAGTGAATAAAAGAATTTATTACATGGTTTTAAGGCTAACACAGCGTAAATGAGATCGCTAAAAGGGTTTATTCTGAGCTCTTTTCAGTTTTGTTCCCAGAGTTATTAACTCGTTGGGCTTCCTTTGTAATTCATAACGGTCAGGGGACTGGCTCTTCTCGCCCCATGCTTTCGAATCTATACACAGGAAAATTACTGTGCTCATACTCAGGATGCCAGAGTGAATGCAAAGTCATCTTGAAACTTGTCCTTACTTCGGTTGCTGAAAAATATACCAMTGTTATAAGTTTTCTTAAAAATTACGGCAAAATTTCAAACTTTCATCAAGGAAACAGAGAGTCCGGCATTCTATACATTTCTTCGGATATTCTAGCGTTTTTTAATGGTTAGATTATGGGAAAATATAGAGTTAAGCAACGCATAGGGCTGGTTCGAAACCTAAAGCTCTTCCTTGAAATTTTTTTTTCGGTTTAGGATTTAAGTCTTTGGAATTTTTTAAGTTCTTTTCCACATAATGAATATRCATATTAGAGAACTTACGTACTGTACGTACATCATTGATATTATACTGAGTGACCCTATATATTGACATCCGTATGGCTCGGGGGAGGGGATGAGGGGTAGGGGGTGGTACTCCCCTCTATTTGCTATATATGGGTCAGTGCCGTTCGGTAGGGTCTTTTTTTCTGAGGTCCAAGTCTGGGATAGCGTTTCATATACCCGTTTTTCTGGGATAAAGTGGCCTTTTGTCTGGGAAAGGGTAGTTTTTTTGTGTAGGACAGTATATAGTCTCATTGTMTGGGGTAGGGTGAGGTTTTGCCTGTGATCGTATCTGCTAGGCCACGCTTTCTGCGCTAAAATGATGTACCTTTGTATACCTTTAGTCTGGGGTAGGGTATGTGAAATCAAAAAATTGATCTGGGATAGGGTAAGGGTTTTGAGGGTCCTGCACATACCCACCCAAGTTGGGGAGGGAGTACCCCCTCCCCCCTCCCCCCCGGGGGCGTATGGAAATCGTACGACAGATCCTTCTCACGAGGTTCAACCTTAACAAAGGATTTACCTACACAAAACGTTTTTGTGAATCAGAATATCGTAAATTATCAAGGTCAAGGCAAGCTGCTGATTATCATGACTTGCAGAGACACTCATTATTCATCAATATTTGCATGAAAAGAAGACTCTAGCATAACAAGCCATGAAAAGCATTCCGTCAGGAGCTAGGGACAAAAAATATCATCAAAGCTTATGCCGGTTCTTCTGTAAACCGCTAAATGCTGTATTTATTGTTCTAAGGAACAATAAATTAAAGCCAGTGAAGTGAAACACTTTTTAGAATAATTTAAAGAGATATGGTTCTTTCACAACAGCGCATGTTGCATTTATGATATAAATTATTATGAAATGCCAGTGTATCTTTCGCGCGAAAAAGTGATATCTTTCTCACGTGAAAATAACACCATTAAATAAAGGTATATTTACCTTTTGCTGCTGTTTTGTGTTTATGATAATTTATATAATAAACAGAATATTACATGGGCGCTTGGAGATATCAATTGAACACTCAAAGATAAAATTCGTATCTCCGCGCGCCCATGTAATATCCTCTATATCTTCACTGATATTTTCATTTTACGCAAGAATTTTTTTCCTAAAATTCTTTAAAAATT